CAACAACAGCAGCATCAGCAGCAGCAGCAGCAGCAACAACAACAACAGCAGCAGCAGCAGCAACAACAACAACAACAAGAGCAGCAACAGCAGCAGCAGCAACAACAGCAACAACAAGGCAACAACGGATCCCTGCGCATTTTTTCCAAGGGTCACAGGTGCCCGTTCCCCCTTCCCCCCGAGAACGGAAGCCCCTCTCGGCCCGCAGAAAAGGGGGGCACAGACCGCGCCCTCGCCCACGCATGGTTCTCCGTCGCGGCGCGGCAGAGGCAAGCCACGCGGCCGCTCGCAGCGGTCCAGGACGCTCGACGAATAGATTGCCCGGATGGGGCGCGGGAAGGCAGGGCGGCCGCGGAGAGAGCGGAAAAAGAGGGCGCTCAGTGGTGAAAGAATTTCACGTCGGGCGCACCGGAGCGGCGAGTTAAAGATGCGGTTGCAGGGCAAATGACGCGGGGCGGCGTCGCGGCCACATCCAAGGACCGCAGCTGAGGCTGCAGGCGCTAAAAGCGCGGGAGGCCAGGCGCTAGCAGCAAGTCGATGCAAAGCCCCCAGGAGCCGCCAGGGATGCGAGTGACATCCAATTTTTCGTCACGTGGTTGGGCTGTGTCATACTTTGCCGCGCCGGCAGCTGCTGGGCGCGGGGCGAAGACCGGGCCCCAGCGGCAGCGCGCGGAGACCGCGCAAGGCCAGGCCGCCGCCAGAGCCGAACGAGCCCGCAGCATAGCAGCACCGCGGGCCCTCGCGACCCTTGGCGTCACAGGGCCTGCGGACGCCACGGCATCTCCGCCAGCAAGGAGCATCGGCCGTAGCAGTCCACGGTGCCCCGACCGCCAGGGCTGCTGGCCCGTCAGAGCCCCCTGCGCACAGAAAATGGTCGCCCCCGGGCCAGGAGTCATCCCTGGAGCGCTTTCCGCCCTTGCCTTTTTCCTCTGCCGCCGCCGCGCCCCTGGCGCTTCTACTGCCGGCGCCGCGCCTCGCCCGTCCGCGACGATCCTGCGGTGGCGGCGGCAGGGGCAGATGTCGCAGTTACACGCGGCCAGATCCAGCAAGAAGCGCCTGCAGAACTCATCGGTGCCGAGCGGGTCATCGCGTCCTCCGCCCTTGCCTCTGCCGTCTGGGGAGTCGCTGGCGCGGTTCCACCCCCCCGCGAACGGCGCGCCGCAGGTGCCCCTGGGCCAGTCCAAGACCTCTGGCCAGGTCTCGTGACGCTCCAATGTGGGTTTTCATTACTGCCCCCATTCGATGTCCCGCCTGGCCACCCAGCAGAAGCTATCGCGAGGGTCGCCCCAGGGCCCGGGGGCGCCT